TTATTCTTTTTCTTATTATTATTATTAGTAGTAGTAGTAGTAGTGGCAGCAGCAGCAGCAGCAGCAGTAGTAGTAGTAGTAGCAATAATAGTTATAATAATAATAATAATAATAATAATAGTAGTGGCTGAAGTAGTAGCAGTAGTAGCCACTATAGTTATTATTGTTATTGTTATTATTATTATTGGCTAGGGATACATTTAGACGTCTGTCTACAATTTATAGGGCAATTTCCTTTTAAAGTGAAATGGGTTAATTTTTCTCAAACGATGATGATGATGGTGGTGGTGATGATGATGGTGGTGCTGCTGTTGACGCGGCTGCTTTTGCCACTGTTGTTTTCGTTGGTGACAAAGGCGGTTTTGGATTTGTTTTTCTATTACTGATGTTTTTTTTTTGTTTTTAAATTAGCGTTTTGTTTTTATTGTTCTGATAGTTTTTGTTAATATTATTGTTATTATTATTATTATTGTTGTTGTTATTATTATTGTTATTGTTGTGGTTTTTAGATTTATTTCTTTTAACAGTGCGAGCTTGAAGCCAAGCATTTATGCTCATTAATCAATGAATTAGTGTAGAAAGTGTGTAAATAATGTATGTTTGTTTGTATGTTTGTTTGTTTCTATGTATGTTCATTTGTTTGTTTGATTGATTGTTTGTGTGTATGTTTATTTGTTTGTTTGTTCGTTCGTTTGTTAATTTAACAATCCCAAGAGCATTAAACAATTTCCAAATTTTATGAAAATGTAACCTATCAACTTATTATCAATCAATCAACCAACTAGCCGATCAACCAACCAACCAACCAGTAAACCATTCAATCAACCAACCAATCAATCAACTATTCAATCATTCAACTAATCATTCAATCAATCAACCAATTAATCATAATCAGCCATTTAATCAATCATCCAATCAATCATTCAATCGATCAACTAACCAGCCAATAAATCAACCAGCCAGTCGCTAATTTAACATTCTTTATCCAACTCCAACAACAACAACAACAACAACCACAACTACAACAACTACTACTACTACAGCAACAACAATTATATTTCTAAACTTCATGACGTCAGCAGACATCAGTTACGTCATAATCCAGAAAAAGAGCGATGCTCGTTACCATGGTTAGCATATTTACCCGTGGGGTAGATGATGAATAATTTAAAATTGGAAAGCAAGTTCGTGTGCTTGTATATTGTTGTGTGCGTGTGTTTGTATATATATATATATATGTATATATATATATATATATGTGTGTGTGTGTGTGTGTGTGTGTGTGTGGGTGTGTGAATGTGTGAATGTACGTATGTGCAAGGTCAGGTTTTTGCATTTGCTTAGTTACATTGCACGCATGTACTCGTGTATGTATTTTTATGTACAAGCGTGTTTGTATGTATGCGTGTGTGTGTGTGTGTGTGTGTGTGTGTGTGTGTGTGTGTGTGTGTGTGTGTGTCGTTTATTGATTCGTGTTCAAAATAATAACTAATCCATTGTCTTATCGTTGAGTTTTATGCCTGTTTGCTTACTAAAGCTATTACAAACATTCTAATTATTATTATTATTATTGTTGTTGTTGTAGGTGTTGTTATTGTTATTATTATTATTATTATTATCATCGTTATCATAACCTTTAAGTTGATAGCTTCTAAGGAAGGTGTTGTCTGGCTCTTGCAATAGGATTGTTGTTGTTGTTGAGGAAGTTGATAATGATGTTGTTGTTGATGTTGATAATGTTGTTGTCGTTGTTGATGTTGTTGATGATGATGTTAATGAAGATGATGTGGTTGTTGTAAGGAAATTTGTTACAAGACATAAAAAAACGTGTTGAAGGGGTGTTGAGTTGAATGAGTTGCTGTTGTTGTTGTTGACGTTTGAATAGCGGATGTTGGTATTATTGTTTGAAATGGTGTTATGGCTGTTGATGCTTTTGTTGCTGTTGTAGTTGTTGTCGTTGTAGTTGTTGTTGTCGTTGTTGTTAATGGAAGTTGTGAAGTGTGAAAAATGAACGCATATGCTCTGAAAAAAATTGTAAGTTTTAGTTCGAAAATGCTTCGGCTGATGACGTTGAAGCAGCAGCAGCAGCTGCTGCTGCTGATGATGATGTAGTTGCTGTTGATGATGATGATAATGCTGATGTTGTTGCTCTCGTTGAGGCAATTTTCGATTTTGGTTAGCGATCTCATCTTTGAAGCTGACAGGTATGTCGTTATTCACTGAACGAACAAGTGTTGTTCATCATCATTCATTCATTCATTCATTCATTCATTCATTCATTCATTCATTCATTCATTCGTTCGTTCGTTCGTTCGTTCATTCATCCATTCATCCATTCATTCATTATTAATAATAAAGACGTTTTAATCATCAATACCTAAATACATAAACTTTCAACCCATTTTAATCATCATCATCAACGTTAGAAAGACAGAAGGGCCATTAGTTTTATCCTTATTATTCATTCATTCATTTATGTACTCTTACCTTCCTTGTTTCATTCATTCATTCATTCATTCATTCATTCATTCATTCATTCATTCATTCATTCATTCATTCATTCATTCATTCATTCATTCATTTATTCATTCATTCATTCATTCATACATTCATTCATTCATTCATTCATTCATTCTATTGGTTAATTGCACATTCATCCGTTGATCCTAAACATGTTATACTACCTGTTACATAACTTGCTAACATGATGACGATGATGACGACGATGATGATGATGATGTTGTTTATGATAGCTGTCTCCGGCCGGTCAATTGCTTATTCAAAATTAGTTATCCATGCAAAGGGTAGAAAATGTTATAAGTACCGTGTTTTTATTATTATTATTAATGTTAATGTTATTGTTCTTATTATTGTTGTTTTATTATTATTATTGTTGTTGTTTTGTTGTTGTTGTTGTTATTTTTATTTATTTCTTATTCGTTTTTTTTTCTTAGTTTTTGTGTTTTCTTTTAAAGTTCCTAATTACGATTCATTAATGTCAACAAGCCTCCCCCCCCTCTCTCTCTTTCTTTCTCTCTTTATCTTTATCTCTCTCTCTCTTTCTTTCTATATATATATAAATAAACATAAACAATAACAATAATAATAATAGGAATAAAAGAAATGTTGATCAACCCCCGGACAATTGGTAGAATGCTTGGTTCAAATTGAACGGATAAGAAATTTTTGTTATTGTTATTCTTGTTTATTATTATTATTATTTTTAATATTTTTATTATTATTATTATTATTAACCAGTTTAATTGCAATTAGTTTGTCTATGTGTAAACAAAAACAGATAACGCAGGTAAAAAACTTAATTATTATGGCCGTTAAAAATATATTTAAAAGTTTCCCACTCCTAATTCATTCATTTCTTCCGATTCGATGAACCAATTAAAGCTTCAACTCGAGAGCTTTTTCTCATTTCGTCTGCTCATCATCGTAGCCGTCATCGTCGCTTCCATCGTCGCCACCATTGCCACCAGCAGCAGCAGTAGTAGTAACAACAGCTGCTATAGTGCTAATTACTTCTGCCACTACTTCATATTATTATTTGTTAATAATACTACTAATGTATATACAACACAGTCGTCAGCATTATCACCATCGTCGTCGTCAGCAACAGCAGCAACTGAAGTTACTACTACTACCACATGTAGTAGTTGTAGTATTTCTACTACCTACAGTACTAAACACAGCCGAGGCTTATGAAGTAGAATGCTATGAATGTGCAGTTTGTGACGAGAACAAATTCAAAACTATAGAAAATGAACATCATTTTAGAAAATGCAGAGGTCCCAAATGCTATATAGCTACTATCAAAAGTGATTTTCGTGATTTTCGTAAAAAAAAGAGTTTAAAAATATGATAATAATTATATTTATTTTATTAATTTATAATTTTTCTTTATATTTTGACAGTTAAAAAATCGCCATCGGGGATGAAAATAGTTCAAAGAGGATGTCTTTTTCAAAGCCGTCATATAAGCTGCTACAGGTTTAGAGATAAGAGTTACGATTCAGATGTCTGCCCGTGCCAGACCAATCTGTGCAATTTTGTTGCTAGAACGCTCGTATCATTTAGAATAACGTTGTTGATGTTGTTCGTTTTGTTGTTGCTGTTGTAGACGTTTTTGTTGTTGTTGTTGTTGTTGTTGTTGCTGCTGCTGCTGCTGCTGTTGTTGTTGTTGTTGTGATTGTCTTGGCGTGAAAAATGTTTTATAAAATTTTTCCTCGGTTGTTGCTTTTGAAAATTTCTCCCCACCATCCCCATCAAAGACTAATACGACGACTGACAATGATCAAATTAGAGTTGGATTGAATAAAATTCGCTTTGACAAATTTATTTTTCATGTCTCATTCTCATTCTCACTCTCTCTCTCTCTCTCTCCCTCTCTTTCATTCTTTCTGTCTCTTTTTATAATTTTCTTATCAAATTTTTAATATATACAAACCCA